ATTTGACATTGAGGAACATTGTTTTTAAAGTATTCCACAATTTCTTTATGCAAGCCTTCACAGGTTGGAGAGCCTCTGGCCATCTTTACTTCTGAGAGACTCAGCCTCTCTAAGACATCCCTTTTATAGCCAATCATGTTACACACCTGATGCCAGTTAATGTAATTACTTGCTAAATGTTCTTTCAGCTAATTCTCTTACATATTAATTGTTTTTTCAGCCCTTTTTTGCCTGTGTCCCAACTTTTTTGAGCCCTGTTGCAGCCAGAAAATTTGAAATAAGCTCATTTTGTGGAGAAAAGTGTAAAATGTCTCAACATTTGAAATGTTATCTATGTTCTATTGTAAATAATATGTTGGCTCATGTGATCTGAAAGTCATTGCATTTTGATTTTATTCACAATTTACACTTCGTCCCAACTATTTCAGAATTGGGGTTGTAGTTATTCTGCCAAAAAAGCTTACATTTAAATGAAGAGTTTTTTTCCAAAATGCAATATATCCATTTTACTCATTTTGAGTAAATCAGCTTTTTCTGTGTTGGAGCCTATTGAATTTTATCGAAAAACACAAACTTTGTCCATGACAAAATACACCTTATAGTATGAATTTCTCAAAACTGATTTTTTGGACCATGTATAAGAAGCGCAGGGCTATCACTCTATGGTATTATCTCAATTTTTGTCATTTTGGCACTTATTGCATTTTGGAAACAAACTCTTCAAATATCTAGGTCAACTGAAAATGCTGGAGCAGACTAGAAGTAACATTAAATTTAATGAAATTAATGTGCAAATAATAATTAGAATTTACTTTATCACATATTTTTAATTATAAAGTCATATCCAATAAGGGCAGAAGCATGTATCCTGCAGTGCACTCACAAAATGAAGGGCACGTTAAGACTATGAGGTGCACAGTCAATATGTGAGTAAGATAATAAAACAATGCTTACTCAGTCACCCAGTGCTGCTGATTGTTTACTAGCTGAGGAAACACTTAGAAATTGACTGGGTATTGTGCGTAAGCAAGGGCAAGAAAAACCCTTATCGTTCTGCATACAAAACGTGTGCGATAGTCGTAAGAAAGAGATTTACTAATGGAAACACAAATACAATAGGTGGCTGGAACACAGTTGCTCGTCAGTAATAGGAGGTGCCATTGCGTATGCGCAGGCCCCTACGTTGAATGCGAGAGTGCACATGCTGAGCTTGTCATAGGTAGGGAATAACAAACAGAAAAAAATGCGTGAACACCTCCCATTTCTATTTGAAGAACTGCTCCCCTCCTTCCTTGCCCTTACTCTGACGGTGCCCAGAGTAACTGATCCCATGAACTCTCATTCTGTACTAGTTTTAATTAATAAATGTTTTGTTGCATTCACGTTCGTATTTGTTTTCATTCAGGTTATTATAATCACGATATATTAACAATGAATGGGTCATATATGTTTTTTTGGGCCTATAAATGAGGTATTGATGGCAATTCAAAAACACCTCCCTGGTTTTGCTGTCCTATAAAACCTGTGCAAGGTGAGGGTAAAGCACACTCATGAGTTTTTTGGCCTTTTATTTTATTTTAGGTACCTGGGCATCTGTGTGAAGGAGGATAAACTTTATCCAATACTAGAGGTAAGTTTCTGCTCTGCGACATCTTGCCTGCTTATATGAGACACAGTCAAGGCTTGTGGGTCTTGTGTGGGCGTCAGAGAGAATACTGCTGAGCTTCAGTGCCGTTAGAGCTGGGAGAGAGGGATAAATGAGTCGAACAACCTTGGAAGAGGAGCCTGGTAAGAAATCCAAGATAGATATCACACTCTCAGAAAAAAAGAACCTATTTGTACCTTCAGGGGTAAAAGGCTTGTCACTGAGGCGGTACCCTCAAAGGTACTGCTGTTGTACCCTCAGAAGTGGGTACATATTGGCTTTGGAACATAAAAGTACCTTTAAGGCCCTAAAAAGGTTCACACAGGTACCTTGAGGTCCTATAATTAGCCCTAGGGGGTACATAAGTGCTGAATGTACCCTGGGGAACAGAAATGGACTCCTGCTGTACCCCTATTTCTGACAGTGAGCAAAGGATCTTGAGAGGTACATGTGGCTCACAAGCTTTTGGTGGTGAACAGAAAAAAAGTCCCTACTTCCTCGCCTATTACCTTTGAATGCGAGAAAAGTCATTACTTCACTTAAGTGCATAAAAAGTTGAGGTAGCACTTAGTGAAGCACAGGATGGAGATTAGTGGGAATTAGGCTGAGCAAAGGAGATGGGGTGCCATGGCTGTGCTGGAAAGAGCATTTATAAAGGTGTCTCTCTACTCCAGTATGTGAGTGGGGGTTGTCTAGAAGAGCTCCTGGCCAGAAAGGATGTGTCTCTCAGCTGGCGTGAGAAGGTGGATCTGGCATGTGACATCACACGGGGAATGATCTACCTGCATTACAAAAACATCTACCACAGGGATCTCAACTCCAAGGTATGTCTCTCTGGGTTCTCTAAAACAGTGATTCCCAACTCAGTCCTCAAGGACCCCCCCTGTCCTGCAGGTTTTGTTGCAGCTCTACTTTTGCACACCTTATCCAATTAAGGCCCAATGCACCTTCATGCACACCCTGTTTGTTCAAGTAGATTTTTTTTTCAACCAATCAGCCTGAAGCCCTTAAATGGAGCAGGTGTGAAAGAGTAGAGCTGGAGCAAAAACCTGCAGGGCAGGGGGTCCTTGAGGACTGGGTTGGGAACCACTGCTCCAAAAGACGTTGCCTGTCTTCCATGGAATAGCTTTTTCCTTTATAAAAGGTTTCCTCTCAGTGCTCCTTGCAACTGTTTTGCTCTATTGTTTGTTGGGTTTTCCATGCAGAAGCTTGGGTGAAAACACTGGTGTTAAAAGCACACTTAAGTCAAACAAACTCCCTTTTTTTGCTGGTCTCTCCGCTCTTGGACTCCCTCTCTTTTGAAGAGGAGGGTGGAACGGCATGCAGGCGGCCGCTAGCATGCCACACATACCGGCCAACGCTGGGGATGAGTGCGGCCATTGTGTGCGGTCCTGTTGCACAGCAAGAACATTCTTCTAATCTCTGATCTGTTCCCCCTCAGCCTCTTACAGTCTGATGGAGCTTTCTGCATGGGAAATAATGTTGCACAATGTGCAGATTTTATTGCATTAAAGGCCTCGGCTGCAATTGGTCTTCATTTCGTGTGGTGTGTCATGAGTGCTTTAGCAGAATACTGCAGTCGCATGAGAGCAGTTACTGCAGTAAGGAGCTTACTGCGGCTGCATTACTTTCCTGTAATAGAATAAGGTATTGCCTTCCTGATGTTGCGCATAGGACGTGGTTTTAATGCATATGGCCTTAATGATTTGAGAAATGATGCGATAGATTACCAGATTACTTTTGGTATAAACTAGGGCTGTGCTGATGCTCTAGACCTGACATCACACAATGCAGGTTATTCCAGCTGTTGGGAGAAATAGCAACCCAGGTTAGGGTGAATAGCTTGGTCTCATCATCAAGTGGCTTTCTTTACAGAGGTTCTTACCTTCAAGTTTAAAATGCATAGCATGTACTTTCAATGAATTAAACAGCTTAATTTAAATTACTACTAGAGATACAAAGCAGTCCATTGGAGTGGAGAGATTTAATTCATCACATACATTGTGGTCTCTCTCTCTTTCACTGTCATTCCCTCTTTATGGCCTACTCCTCTCTCTGTCCATCCTCTCTATGTCTCTTATCTCGCTCATGAAATGAAAATCACCAGGCATACTCATCTGAGAGCGCTCTCCTGGTTGCCAGGATGTAGGGAGATGTAGGTAGAGTGTGCTGTCTGAAAACAACAGGGCCGAGGCTGGAAGGTCAGCCTCATTCTCATGCTAATGTAATACTCATCTCTATGTAAATACAAACTGGCACTACAGTTGTGGTGGGAACTGCTGGATCAGTGAAAACAAAGGCGTGCACACACACACACACACACACACACACACACACAAACATATACACACACTCCAGAACTAGAGCTAGAGATCTTCCTACTCACCGCCTGTTGGAGAGCAAATGCTGCAAGCAGAAGTGTGAATGCTTATGACTGGATGCTGGCGTGCAGGGCAGATACAGACTTTCTGGAGGGGGAAGGTTTCGTTTACTGAGCAGAGAGGTCCTTTTGCTTGAAGAGAGGTGTCTGGATTTACCATAGATGATATTTTTTTTATTAACATCAGCAGTCTTATGCAGAGCATCCCTGAATGGTTGCAATGGCCAGATTTATTCCAAAAGCCTGTCTGTAACACTGTGTAGTTGAATCCCATTCAAATGGAAAAGGCTGAACAGAGCCGAGCAAAGGTGTTACAGTTAAAAACACAAGTTCATGTTCAGATTATTCCTCTGAAGGTGGTGAAATTGCGGTATTTTTCATCAGCTATGGAGTCTTGTTATATTGCTATGGCAAGTGATAAGACTAAAAGCCAGCATTCGCCAACCCAGCTCACTTCCTGAATTCAAAAAACTATTTGAGAACAATTGGCTCAGTAGAGGCCTTTTCTGGGGCAACTTAGTCCGTAGCTGATTTAAATAACTCGTATATGGGCAGTTGTACTATTTTAGTGGGATAAATACTGTATTTACTGACTTTTTCCAGGAGAATTACTCAACTCCTGAGAATTTGAACATGTTAACCAAAATTGCACGGCCTCTGTAATAAATCAGGACAAATTTTGGAAGATGAAGTGCCATGAAAAAACAATACCATCTCAGTTTCGTTACAATTGTTGTTGAATTTTAAATTTACATGAAATATACTTTATTGAACCCCGTGGGGTAATTTGTCCTCTGAATGTGGCCCATTCTACTTTGTGCAGCACCCGGGGGTCAGCTCTGAAGCGAGAACCCTGGTTAGGGGCGATGGCAAGAGTATTGCTGTAGCGAATGTCTTTCGGGGTGGGAACGAATGTACCCAGAGGAAACCCATGTGCGCATGGGGAGAACATGCACATTCCACACAAGTAGACCCTGGCCAGCTGGGACTCAAACCCAAACCCTCCACATTGCGAGGTAACGGCGCTAACCACTGTGCCACTGTGCCGCCTCATGGCTATGTTCTCACAATTGTTCTGGACGGGATTAATGATGAATACGCTTCCTAAAAAAATGAGCACAGATGGCTGCCACCCCCCTTCAGTGCACACCCTTACTACCCCTTTCTGTCCTGAACTCAACCCTAACCCTGTCCCTGTTCTCTGCTGAGCCCATTGCGGGACTTGGCAGGAAATCGCTAAATTTAGCTTGCAGGAGTAGGGATTGGGTTGAGTTGGGGGAGGGGTGGTGGTGGTTTGGAGTGATCTCCAGACAGCTCTGTAATCACAGACTACCGAGTGGAAATTGGAGAGGCGATATTGGGAAACATACGCAGAAACTGCACAGCTCTTACCCAGAAGTTTTTCTTTTTTTCTCATTCCTTTTATTTCCTCATGCGGAGCAAGGCCTCCCTCTGAATGCCGGTCTCGTGGTTTCCATGGTGACGGCCACCCGCTCTCGCCTGTCGCCCTGGTAGCGGGGTGGGAACAGAGGGGGCGGGGCAGCCATGCACGTGTGGATATGACACAGTGGCAGGTGGACTACAGTACCTTCACTGCAGCTCATTACACCGGCTGAGGCCAGCCCTGAATAATTGATCTGCCTCAGGAGGTGATGATTGGGGATCTCACTCACTAGGTTCTGCGACTGTATGCCTGCTTTACTCAAGGGCCTCTTAACCATTACTCCCAGTGTATTACAATATCGCCTTCTGATAATATTTAATACACACTAACATACATAATATAATATCCCATTTTTAGAAGTGGTGCTTATTACCTTAACTTACGATACATATGTGGAACTATATCTACTTCGTAGGAGGTGATGTACTGTACATTTCAGGCATTGCTCAATAGCGGAATGAATGTTTCTGTTGGCTGTGCTATGTTCAGTTATGACAATGGAAATCCACTGCTTCTCTCCTCTCTCTTCCCTCCTCCCTTCCTCTCCCCCTGCAGCCTGTGCTTATGCAATCACAGCCAGCAACAAGCACCGAAAGGACAGATTTTAGTAACCTTATGTTAGCCGTAACACGGGTAATCGTCTCTTTTCCAGATGCTATAGCTCCATAACCTGTTCCGGCTAGTTTTATAACATAGGGAGGGGGCTAAGTGAGAGGAGCTGAGATAGAAGGGACAGAGACGATGTTAGGCTGTGAGTGCAGATAAATATGTGGATATACTGCCCTCTGCTGGTGGATCGATTTAAGTAAAATGAGGATGTCCTCCAAACTGCTGTTTCCTCAGAATGTCCACTAAACATACTGCCATTTAACATCTGCTCATTTCTTGCAACAGGAAGTTAAGAGATAGGGGTGAAAAGATTCAGAATGCTAAATTTTCTTCTTAACCCTTTCATTATCATTGTCGCATTTCCGCGACAGCGCCGATCCCGCATCACTTACCATTGTCGCTATTTTGCGCCTAGAGAAAGTCCCTCACAAAAACTGTCAAAGCTCCGCAACAAAACACCCCTTTGGACGAGTCTGGTATCGCACAACACGTCAGTGATGTCATCAGGCTTCCCGTAGTTCCCAATCCTCCGGTTATGCACAGTTTTATTTTATTTTATACAGGTTATTGCAGGCAGTGCGTGCTGCAGCACGTGTATGTCCGTTTGTACACAAATGCACGTGTATCTCCGTTCTTACAGAAATGCGCGCGTATCTCCATTTGTACATAAATCCCATAAAGGAGAAATCGTCTTGTCTTGACAAACCGAAATATGGTTTTTATCCTCATTTTTTGTTTTTACTTTTGGAAAAACTAAGCAAAGATATGTGTCAATGGAAAGGTAAATGTATTTTGAATATGTTTTCTGTACATAAAATTGTCCATTTCTGGCGTTTTTAGTTCAAAAAGGGGAGCGAAAATCCACATGCAATATCATGCTGCGATAACACAAAAATTTACGGTAAGCAAGGGTTGTCTTATTCCCAGTAAGCGGTAGTGAAAGGGTTAAAACACTGAGATATGCTCATGTTTTTGTAGTGTGAGTATTGAATTCTGGTAAGCTAAAATCAAGCTGGGCCATCAGTGTTTCCAATCACTGTTGATGAATAGTGATGCATAGGTGGGCACTGTCCCTTTTATTGGGAGACAGCTTTTGACACATTTACTTTACTGGGCGATCAGTCAGTGCTTAGTACGGGTTACAGATGAGAGCAGTGCAACACTCAGAAAAACCATAGATTGGCGTATTGAAGTATGCACGTCACATGTTGTAAGCAGCTTTCTCATAAAGTGCTTTCAATTTATGAGCAACTTTCTCATTAAGTGCTTTCAATTTTCATATAAAAGAATATGCAAGTAAATTGTTTATGACGCAGTCAGGCTTTTTTTACGCTGTGAAGTGGTACTGGTAGAGAACAGAAGGGGATTAAAACTCATCTTCAATATGCTAATGGAACAATTTCAATATTTGTCTAAAGCAGTGAAGCAGGGAATTCCATCAATGTAATACACATGGATTTATAGCCAAAAAATATTTTGTGTGACAAGGATATGTCCTGATCTCTGGGTTCAGTGATTGCTGTACTTAGGTGAATCTAAATGTGTTCCATAGGACCCCATGTTCTTGTTGTGGAAGGCATATTGATGAACCTTGGACTGATGCTGGCAGCAGGCGCTGTTGTGATGGGGCCATGAATATGACTGAGCATTCCTTACGTTAAGAAATACTGTATGAAACAGAGGCAGAGACTGAAGTCTGACCTGGTTTATTGTCTCCATTCCTGCAGAACTGCCTGATCAGGGTAACACAACGGGGTAGGGAAGCCCTGGTGACAGATTTCGGACTTGCCCGGGAGGTGGTTGAGCTCCCAGCTAAAGACCCAGACAGGAAGCTCTCCTTGGTCGGCTCTGCCTTCTGGATGGCCCCAGAGATGCTACGAGGGGAACCCTATGACCGAAAAGTTGGTTACCCCTAATGAACTACCACGTCCAGTATCGTGAATTAATTGTCCAAAAGACCTGCTAGTGCAGCTCCATGCATTGAAAATGAAGTGTTCACAAATGATATTTATCAACAGCCTTGTTTACACTTCTAGAAAACATCTTGTGAAGCTGGGTCTGTCCTTTGTACAGCTTTATTCAATGCTAATATGATGCTAAATGCCTCCAAAATTGTGTGTGATTGACTTTGACAATTCAATTTTTTTGAACGCAGGACAACTCGGTTTGTTTGATGAGGTCATTTGAATGTTTGCAATCATTTAAGGTCCTCGCTGTTACTTCCTTTAATAATTTTTTTTTTTTTCTGAGCTTAAACACTGATATTTGAAAGTTGTAGTCTAGTAGACTAATGTTGAGTTTTCTGGAAGAAGACATGACACAGTTGCACTTAATTAGAGGATTACGGGAAGGAGGGGTTACAGAAATCTCCCTCAGTGCCGTGTGCAATACACAGTCAAAATACATGGCACATTTTCAGGAGAGCACGCAATCTTGGTATTAATAGCATATAAATTGTAACCCAGAAGATAAATAAAATATTGCTTGCTTATCACTAAGTGGAGGTACCTGTAAGTGCTGCTTAGGTAAAGCGCTCACTGAACATGAGAAGAGGATGGCTAAAGCCTGTGCTAAACAGGGAGAGTATTGGGAAATCTGAAAAATAAAGATCTGTTCAACCAAGTACTCTCATTTTTTAAACGCACTGACAGAACCTCCTCCCATTGACATCCTCACCCATTTAAAAATTACTGTCCAAAATTTAAACTGCCAGTTTAGCTATAATCAACAATTTTTTTGTTGTTTTAGTTAAATGTGATGTATATACATGCATGCCTTCTGGGGCACCTGCAGAATATCACCTCATTTCACCAAGTAGAATGACCTCTGCTGTAATTTTTTCCCTTAACTATACTGTGCTGTACTATTTTAGTCTTTAGAGAAATGAGGGTTAAGAGTTGTTCTGTGTAATGTCCCCAGGTTGATGTGTTCTCCTTTGGAATTGTGCTCTGTGAGATACTGGGCAGGATCCCGGCCGATCCCGAAATCCTCCCAAGAACCCAGGTCAGTCCTTCTGCGAGTGTAGCCATGCTGGTGCCTAAAATGTCACTGCTGTGCTTGGGAGCAATATGTGTCAAAGGGAGAACAACTGATTAACAGGCATTTGAGTTTCTCAGTCTGTAGATTTTCCCAGTATATTTGCGGTAGTCCTATGGTATGCTGCTTTAGGAATTATTAAATCATATGGTACCTCAGCCAACCTGTAAGGGAGTCAGAGACAGAATAACAGTTAAGTGTCATCCATGTCTCAAAAATGTAAAGATGGATGTTCAGAATTTACTGTTTTGAATGCTTTTAAGATCTAGGTTTTCTTCGTTGGCAATAACAAACACCAATGCTGCATTTAAAGAAAAGTAATGTGATAACAAACAAACCGTGGGTTACTGTGTTAGCAGCATATAATTAAGTTATCATTATCCATGTGGACAGACTAAAAGACAATGAATAACAAAATCTTATCATAGAGACTACTGGCATACAAGTATTTCTATGGCAGCTAAAGCTTTATTGTGCAAGTGTTTCATGTTGCCAGTGCTTCTGTGCCTATCGATTCCAGCACTCTTTGTCCTGAATGCTAACGGGCCAGAATGCATGAACATTGACTGAAAGCTAAACTCAGACACCCTCTGAAGATAGCTCATGATTAATTCTTGATTCGTTCAGCAATTACCCTGATTAAAGATACGTTCCTGTAATGTTCGCTGCTTTGTATATCTTTTGATTTTTTAAAAGGGCTTGCCTAAAATGCATTAGAGAACCCAAATCCTCTTAAATCTGTGATTTTACAATGACCATTGTCTTTCGACATACAATTGTGTCAGTTTTAATCAGTTAAGGGCTAGCATGATATGAGAATTGCAAAGTTCACATTAAAACAAAATCTTGTTAAGACCAGTACTTTGGTTTGTGCTCTCATAGGAATTTAGAATTTGCTACCAAATCTTTTTTCATTTAAACTCTCCATATCTGCCAAACTAAAGAATGCATTGTGCAA